CCCTCGATTATCCAACAAAAAAAACACCCCCCAGTCACGCTGTTTTTTTTCCGGCCCTTTTAGGATAAAGGCGGTTTTTTGGGGGCCGGGGTGTTGGGGATTCCCCTTTTTTTCTTTTTTGGGGGGGGGGGGGGGGGGGGGGGGTCGTCTTTGACAGGTTTCTTTCATGACAAAAAAAAATCCCACTGTAGACAGATTCTCTGTTAGATTTGGCCCTTAAATCGTGCAAGGGGGCTCTCGTGGCCTAGAGGTTAAGGTGTTGGCCTCTCATTCAAAGGTCCCGGGTTCGATTCCGGGTAGCGACCAAAAAATTTTCTTCTCTAAAATTGTCTCCTTTCCCCTCTTTTCCTGATCTCTAACAATGATCTGTTGTCTGCTTTCATTTCCTTTTTCTGCCCCCACCTCCTCACCTCCTTTGCCCCCTCCTCTGGGCTCCTGACTCTTTCTGCAGCCTTTCTACTGCTACTCCTTGGCTCCTCCTAACTGCTGTCTTTCTGCCACACCCCTGATCTTCTGGTAGGAAAGATCTACACCTAGCCTTCTCGGACAAGGGCGAAAAATCTCGGAGGGCCCGTGTGCAAGTTGCGCACGTTAAAGATCCCTTAGTGGTCTAAAATCGATAAGAGTAGGCTTCGGCCGCCACCCGGGCAAAATTCAAAATTTCCTACCAACGAAAAAGTATTAGGTGTGTCCCGCGCGCTCATATGACCTTATGCAGTTGCGAGCGCCGTAAAACCCTATACTAAACAAACAACAAACAAATAAATCGTGCAACGGCACGTACGCCTACATCGGATCATTCAACACTGACAAAGTCGCTTCGTATGAACACGCACTAATAGACCAATACCCGCGGCGAAGGGGGGCCACTGCTTGACTGGACTTGACTGAGGAGACCAAAGATCTTAGCTCAGACGTTGAAATCTCAGCGGGTATTTATATCACAGTAAAGGTCCAGGCAACATATTATTCATACGAAGAAAAATTATAGTTTGAAACCAGATCCCCCTTGTTCACTCAAGCATTTGTATATATTTTTTGGGTGAAATTCTTAATCTCGCTATGATCGAGTTCTGTAACGGGGAGCCTTTTTGGGTAAGTTGAATTATTGAAATACAATTTTAAATTGTTGTTGTTGTGGACGTTTAGTGGTGGTCATTCATACTGCAAGCTCAGTAGACTACCGTTAGAGTGGCCCTGTTTCGACACCGTTTCACAATCGTAATAGCCTAATATTGTTTGCTTTTTTTTAGTCTCTCTGTTCCTCCTTACTTTGTCTGATAGCCTAAATTGAGCCGTAAGAGTAGCTTAGGGGCTCTCGTTGTCTAGAGATACGGTGTTTACTGTTCACTTGTCATTCAAAAGTTCTCAGGTTCGAAACCTGACAGGTATGAAAAAATGTCCTTCTCTAAAATAATGTTCTCCTTTCACCTCCGTTCCCGTTCTCTAATCATGCTGTCATCTGCTTTCATCTCCATCACCCCCTCCGGCACGCGCACGCACACACACACACACACACACACACACACACACACACACACACACACACACACACACACACACATACACACACACATATTTTTAAAAAAAAAAAATATATATATATATATTTATATATATATATATATATATGTATATATATATAATATGTGTGCACACACACACACATATATATATATAGATATATATATATATATATATATATATATATATATATATATATATATATATATATATATATATATATATATATATGGCACTTTCTTAAGAAATTTGGAGGACAAAATATAAAATAAAGCTGTTTCCAGAATCTTAGAAAACAACAGGATGTATAACTAACCAGTACAAAGTAAATCTCATGTAAAATTGCAAGCCAAGGTAGTAAAACAAAATAACATTTCTTGTTTAATACAAGGAGTACAAAAAAATGCAACAAAGAAAAAACAAATCGAACACCCCCCCCCCCCCCCAAACAACAACAACAAAACAAAACAAACAAACAACAACAAACAAACAATTACAAATAACCCCTCAACATAACAAATGTGTGTGTCTGTGTGTGTGTGTGTGTGTGTGTGTGTGTGTGTGTGTGTGTGTGTGTGTGT